CACTGCCACCATTTTATTTTGGCTACTACTATTAAAATTGATTACTACTATTATTATAAGTTATTAATAGTACTGTCATAATTAATTATGTTACCAATAAGGAAATAAATGTTTCCATGTGCACTTACCCAATAGTTGAACAACAAATAAGAATTTTTTTTTTTGCCAATAATAACTTCATTAATGAAGATAGAGATGGATGTTTTGAGAAAATATGAAAAATTAATATGAAAAGGCGTAGTCTATTTATTAGCTGGGTGAGGGTAATAATGGTAAAATATCTACCAAAGATTCAAAACGTTATTTATTTGGTTAATTGTTGATAAAGCCAAAAAAATATTTAAAAAAATAGGAGATAATATATTTTATTATTGAATGTTAATAATTTAAAAAAAAATCTAAACAAGTCACAAGTACATAATGAGTAAGGAGAGTACTCATTTGAGACTTCTTGAATTTAAGATTTTTTTTTTTAATTTTTTTTTTCTTTACTGAAACCAACGAAATCTTCAGTCTATAGATAGAATTTGATTTTAAGATTTCATACATGCATTTTTTATTTTTTTATTTTTTTTTGGTACAATGAACCTTCCGGTTTCCGAATTCCCGAGGGAACCGACTAATCCGGAATCGATAAATTCATAAGTGTCTAGACAGATGCCAAATTTCCAGTCATAAATAAATTGAAGATCTCGTATTCTTTAAAGATTCTTTTTTTCTTTTTTGTTTTTTTAAATCTCAAATGAATTAAATACAGTAAAGTGTGTATTCATTCGAAATTTTTAAAGACTTGTTAAAATTTTAAAAATCTTGATATATTCAACTTTGAGTTCACAAAAATTTTAAAAGCTTTGAGTATTCATTTGAGATTAAAAAAAATAATAATAATAAGTAATGAATTATTTAATTTATTTACCACTTGTATTTGTTTGGATTTTTTGAGACTTACCCGAAATTTCAAAGACAAAACTATATAAGAAAGCTCATATCAAATCCCACTTCAAACTAAAGATTTCACTTAAATCTAAATTCTTCTAAAAGTCTTATTAATTTTTATAAAGTCACTCAAATTTCCAATTCAATACAAACACTTTTAAAAGTTTTGTAAAAGTCCAAGTTAAATACAATAGACTAATTAAAATCTAAAAAAAAATAAAAAATTAATGAGTACACACATTGTGACTTTTCAGTTCAAATGAATGTTCCAAACGTTTAAAGTTCTAAAAATCCAAACTAGATACATCATAATTCTAAAAATTTTAAATAATTTTTAAAGATCCTCACTAAACACAACCTCAATTAATCCCCTATTCCCAACTAACTTACGCTAAAACTACAAGCATTTAGGGACGAATTATTGTAAAGTATTAAAAAATATTTATTGTCTAGATACCTTTGTTTTCAATACAACGTCCTCAGAATTTTCAAATTCAATAGAATTTATTACAGTAAGTCTCTCAATAATCTACAAATACTTATAATCTGGAATAAGATAATAAGTTCCAAACTATATATGTATAATTTGATATGAAGGGCGCAATTTATATTAATTCCCTGTATATTAATGGACAACAAATATTTCGTAGCAAAATAGATTGAATTGTAAATAATATTTTTTTGAGGTTTATTTGTCAAGTAAAAATTACATCTATTATAGAACGGAAGGGGCCAGATAAAAGAGTATATATGATTTAATACCCGAATAGAGGCGCACCATTGTGTCTAAAATAACCATAATTTTGAAATTATTCCATTAAAATGAAACGGGTATAACAACAATTAATGAATTTGAGATATGGATCCAACACAAGTGATATCTTTTGATGTAGACACTAACAAGACAACCAATGTAATTAACAACACGTGTGCATGTGAGATTATATCATATAGAAATATTTTTAAAGACATTAAAACTAAAATAGGAAATCTTATTATTGACTAATTAACCATAATTTCAATGGACAATACACGCCTTTTTTTAATAAAAAAATAGCACGATCAGAGTCTGTATACTAATACAATATATCCATAATCCATGACAACATGCACACTATCAAAAGATTAAAATAAAAAAAAAATAAAAAAAAATCCGAAAAAACAGTAATAGATAAGAGTTTAGCCTCCACTCCATCCACAATAATCTCAACCCTCAAAAGTCAAAACACATAATAATAATAATAATTACTAATTTAAGAATTCAATGAGAAAGGATTATGATGAGCACCTTGCAGCTTCTTCTCCACCCACGACGGCGACAGCACGGGGCTCATCTCATACTCCGCTGCCACCAATTTCCCATCATCCACGCCGACGTCATCACCCTCCTCCCTCTCCTTCACCGGCAGCACCTTCACTCTCCACACCTTGAACGTCTGGTCGAGCCCCGCGCTGTACACCAGAAACCCCATCACCACCACCTTCTCCACCTCCAGCACCGCCGCCACACACCTGACCGGCCCCCTGTGCGCGTCCACCACCGCCAAGCACTCGTGCAGCCCGCACCTCCCTTCCTGATCCCCCCACCTCCTCCACACCCTCACCGTCCCGTCCTCCGACCCACTAAACACCATCCGCTCCACCGCCGCCAGGCACAGCACCGCAAACCTGTGCCCCTGCAAAAACCCCCCGTGCCCGAACCTCCCCGTCCCACTCTCCCTCTCCCAAAAATTAATAACCCCATCCGACGACCCGGAGTACAGAAAACCCCCCGCCAGCGCCAGCGCGTTCACTGGCGAAGGCTGGAACCGCAGAGTCACCGTCAGCGTGTGTGAGCTCTGCCCGTACACGCGCCGCCACACTTTCACCGACCCATCCGACGAGCACGTGAAGACACACCCGTCGCCGTCGTCGTCGACCGCGACCGCGTTGACGCGGTCGTCGTGGGCACGGAACGAGTCGACGCAGCGTCCGTCAGAGATTCGCCAGGCTTTGACAGTTCTGTCCCAGGAGGCGGTGTAGAGGAGGCCGTCCGTGTGGTTGTAGGCCATGCAAGAGATTTGGTCGCGGTGGCGGCGTGAGGAGGAGGAGGAGGAGGAGAAGAGGGAGAGGCAGTGGGGTTTGGGGAGGGTGGCGATTTTTTTGGCGCGGAAGGTGTGGGATGAGGAGTGGGAGAAGTCCCAGATGCGGACGCGGAGGTCGGAGTGGGAGGTGAAGAGGGTGGTGGAGTGGGAGAGGAGGGAGCGGACGCAGCCGTGGCGGGAGGAGAGGTGGCCGAGCTCGGAGAGGTGGGGGTGGAGCCAGGCGCGGACGCGGGGGGAGTCGGAGCNGAGGGGAAGATGTTGTTGATGATGAGGTTGGTTTAGGGTTAGGGTCGGGATGGGTGAAGAAGGAGGCGGACGTGGCGGTGGGGCAGAGGGAGGTGGAGCGCCTGGTGTAGTGATGCTGGTGGACTTCCATGTTATGGTTTTTGTGGGTGGGAACAAAAAGGTGGTGCTGATTTGGGGGATTTTATTTGTGTAGGGGGAATATTGTTGATGTTTTTGGGGGAAAGGGAGTGTGTGGGTTGTGTATTTATGGATTAGGTGGGTTGCTGAAATTATCTGGTGTGAGATTCAACATTCAACTTCAGCCACCCATTGTAATTATTAATTTGCTCAGTTGTCCATTCTCTTTTAGGCATTCAATGAGCTCGTTCGCTAACTTAACGACATTAACTGTGAAAGTAAGTGTTTCTGTCATTCGGATAGCTATAACCTAAACGTTCGGTAACTACTCTCAATTGAGGGTGTGCATCGGTCGGTTCAATCGAGCGACCGAACTGAATTAGAGAAACCGAAATAAACGAACCATACTATGTCAATAACCGAAACCAATTGAATTACCAATTTAAACCGAACATTAACCGACCAAACTTTTTAGTTAGTTTCGGTCAGTTTGGTTATTATTCTACTTACATTTGCATTAGTAACTCAATTTATTCGTCTTTTAATTTCATCCTCATTGAACATGCACTTTATTAGAATTATATAAATATATTTTTTATTTTTTATTTTTTTTTAAAAGATGTATGACTGTTGTGACCCTTTGAAATGAACTATCATGTTTCTTAAAATTTCCGGTGAAAAGCAGAAATTGCTACCTATTTCATTGGAGAAAAAGCTTAGAAACTGCGAAAGCATTAACTAAACTGGGAAACAACGGTAACCCCCATACAATGGCATCTTCATCATAAAAATGTTAACGAAAAACTAGTTAATGCTTGAACCGGAACTCTACCATCCTTTCACATAGAAACTTAAAATATTCTGCTTTAACTACGATTTTGACCCTAACATTGCAAAATTTGATTACGGAACTTAAGTAGGAAATTATCTAATGTCACTCAGTTGCCTGTGATTGCAATTTCTTCTTAAGAATATTTGACAGCGGTGTAATTGCTGCTCGCCCTTGTTCTATGCACTGTAAATAATCGTCCACTGTAAAAACAAATTGGCAACATTAGTTTTACCTAACAAAAATCAATAACATGGTGCTGAAAAAATAAATAAATAAACACCATAAGAATCACGAAAAATTGCACCATTAGTCCACTAACTATTACTGAGTTGCACTTTCGTCCTTTAATAAACAAAAATTTATATTTGGTACACTATATTTCTTTTTTTACAATATACATCCAAAACGATATTTCTGTGACATTTTTGGCCGGTAATCTGACGTGGTGTCCAATTGACCCTACATATTAAACACCGTCGGTGATGTGGCATGAGCTGTCCATAGATCTTTCGCCACGTGGATAACAAAAAAAAATACTTTTTCCATATCCATGTGTCATTACACATGGATTTAAGAATTAAAAAAAAATCAAAAATAAAAATAAGATCTCAGACCAAAAAATAAAAATAAACCTAATTCAATAAATCAGACCAGAAACTCACGGTGAAGATGAGAGAGAAGAAGAAGAAGATGAAGAAGAGGAATTTTCTTTTGTCTGTGGAGGAGCGAACATAGTCGCCGATAGCGGCTGAGGACATATTCATTGACGGCTAGATTCGCTCGATTTATCCACTCTTCAACCGGGATTTATTCTTCTCCGGCGAGAATCTACTCGACAGCTTGCCCACGAGGCCTCCAATGAAGAATGTCTTCATCGAAACGAGTGAAGACAGCGGCCAGAAGGCGCCGTCCTCCCCGGACGGGAAGGCGGTGGAGGTGTTGCCGGATGTCTGCCGGAAAAGCAACTCGACCGGTATTTCCAAGATCTGGCGGTTCAAGGATTTCCTGGGGAGAAGCAACAGCGACGGGAGGGACGCCTTAGTTTTCCTAAACAGCGGCCACGAGGCGGCAGCGGCAGCGGCTACGTCCTTGGCGGCCAAGGGGAGGAGAAGAAAGAGCTGAAGGGGAAAGAGGGGAAAACGGCGTCGTCTTGTGTTATTACTTTTCTGATTTTTTTTTTTNATGTAGGGCCAATTGGACGCCACGTCAGATTACCGGCCAAAAATGTCATCGGAACATCGTTTTGGATGTATATTGTCAAAAAAAAAAATATAGTGTACCAAATATAAATTTTTGTTTATTAAAGGACGAAAGTGTAACTCAGTAATAGTTAATGGACTAATGGTGCAATTTTTCCATAAGAATCATCTTAGAGTTCTTGGACGCTTAAAGACCCAAAAAAGTGGGAAAGTTATTATCTAGAAACTAATCAACCACCAAAACCTCATACCTTTGTTTACATAATCAAAACATAATAAAATCCCAGGTTAGTAAGAAAAATACAACAAAAAGTAAGAGGCTTAACCTGCCATTACACCACGCGTAACAGATGTGATAATCCCATTCGCTGACTCTTGAGGTACAACAGATCGAGCTGAACCAGGAAAAGCTAAGCACACAAACGCCTTCATTTTCTGCCTCAACAGACACACACATTACACACCAGAAGATTAATGCCACAAACAACAAAACAGAATGCATGAGACATGAAATATACAATACTCACATGACATAATTTGTTAGAAGACAAAATCATAAAAAAATGTAAGAAAATAAATTACCTGCTTGCTAGGGTCTAATATGATCTGTCCATTTTCTGCTATGCAACAGGATATGGCGACTGCACGTGTTGTAAGGTTATAGTAACATTAGTTCACACCCACAACATAAAGGTTTTATATTTCGTTTTTTACCTGCAAGGTATTTCAAAGGGATTCCAGCATCTACAAGAGCAGCACACAAGTTCATTCTCAGAGCACAAAAGTCGTAATGTTCAACATTTTCAATTTGACATGGCCACACCACACCACAACAGCAAAATCAATCAAGCAGAAGAAATCTCATATATTAATGGATTAATTATGATTTTAACAGATGCCGAGTTCTTATTCGAATTCATTTAGCAACGAGACTGTAGTCATCCCTAAAAGTATAAGTTATGGACCAGTTATTGATTAACCCGTCTTACATAAAACAAATTGTATTTATCAAATTATGTCAATTTCAAATCAACTATTCCAGACTTGACAATTTCTTTAACTAGCATCATTGGAGATGCAGCGAACGTATGTACAAATTTATTTCAACAAATAAACAGTCAAATCTCCCGTATATATAAACTTCACTAAAAAAAAATTAAATAAAACACAATATATACACATAACAAATAAATCTAAAATCAGTGAAAATCAAATGCTGCATCGCCGAATTCCCCCACCCACCACGTCATCATCGTCCTCACTAACAAAGGCCGACAAATTGACATACTTCTCCCGATCCCCTCTGCCCCGCCACCTCGCACGGCAGAGCACACAGGTGGCGGACCTCCTCCGGCAGCTCCTTTTCCACGACAAGAAACACTCCTCGTGTATCACATTCCTACACGTCCCGCACGCCACCACCCTATCCTCCCTCCCCATCTCCTCCAAACACACCGGGCAACAACCCCCGCCGCTCACCTCCGGCGCCGGCCGCCCACCGCCGCCGAAGAAGATCTCCCGGAACCTCTCCCTGAGTGCCGAGCCAGCTAGCGCGCCCGCAGAGGTCGGGCGGGCGAGCAGGCGGGACAGGTGGCAGGGGCGGAGGGCTCGTCGCCCGAGGCAGCGGTCATCGGGAGGGAGGCCGAGGGCACAGATGAGGACGAAAAGGAGGTGCTTGCAGGGGGCGCCGCGGTCGGGGCACGTGCACGAGGGCGCGGCGGAGACGGCCACCGTGTAGACGTTGCCGGAAGAGCCGAGGACGAAGAAGAGGGGGTCCGCGCGGTGGAGGAGACGGAGGCGGTGCCACACGGCGCGGGACACGCGGTCGGAAAACGGCTGGCTGCCGGGGCTGAGGTGGCGGCGGCGGTGGTGCTCCATGTTAATTAANGATATATGTTAATTACTGGGAAGTTGTTTATTAATTTGATGGGCTTGTCTTGTGGTGCACGGGAAATGAAATGTAGTTTTGATGGAAAATAAAGGTCAAGGGCGGATATACTTTGGGGAGGATTTAGGAGCACGGGATGAATTCAGGCTGAGGTAGGTTTTATTTGGCCAATGAAAAGGAATTCTTGAAATTGGTTGTTTTCAAGGCACGTCAACTAATGGGTGGCTTATTGCTTTGTTTGGTGGTTCCTTTAAAGTTGAAGGATTGGTAAAAGTGTTAATACCATTAAATAGCCATAAAAGTTTATAAAACACAAATTTTAGCCACCTTTTTAAAAAAACCTCTTTTTTAGCCATTTTGGCATGTGGTATTACTACATTACCCTTAGCTCAATATTATTTTGTTTACACAATTTGTTCCCCAAATTATTTCAAATTGTTTTTTCCTCCATTTTCAAAAAAAAAAAAAAATTCGCCGCACCTACCCCCACTCCTCTGCAGTCTGCTCTTCATCTTCACCAAATTTGTCTTCAAGAATTCATCTCTTGCATCTTCACGAGAAATCGAACACCTCACGAGCAAAAATCGAACGGAATTTGGTCTTCTGACCTCACGCGACCTCTTCTGACCTCACGCGACCTCGCCGTCATGCCGGCTTCACGACCTCCCCGTCACGCCGGCTTCACGACCTCGCCGTCACGCCGTCTTCACGACCTCGCCGGACTCTTCAGGACCTCGCCGGAATTTGGTTTGATTTCTTTTTTGCATTAGGGTTTTTTGTTTTTCTTTTTGCCTTTTTTAGGATTTCCTTCATATGGTGATTTGCTAGTTGGAAATTGTTTGAGTGGTGTTTGTTTTTGGACTTGTGATTTGCTATCTATCCCACGCCATTTCATAAACGCTAGGGTTCTCATTTCCACATTATCTATCTGTTCGTTCGCTACTTCACACTAGACAGATTCGACCTCTTTTTTCGAAGTTGGCAGAGGTAATATCTTCTTCTTGATTCCGTCATCCTTCTCCCCATGTTTCTACAAGCAGATTGCATTTCAGCTTTTTTGTTCTTCTTCAATTTTCGATCTTACTTTGTCTATATTTCATCTGTATGCGTGTGTGTGTGTGTGTGTGTGTGTGATTCTGAGCGTTGGTGGCTTTGAATAATGCATTTTACTGGTTAGATCCTGGTTTATACGTTATCTCTCAGTTTTGTGATCATTCTAATCTTATTTTGTCGTCTAGCAACCTCAAGTACACCGTGAATTAGGCATTTTTGCTTTTCATTGCTTTGTGGTTAACATAGAAAATTCCAAAACTGAATTCGTATTCGTCAGGGAGTATTTATGCTGGTCTTTTTTTAATGCTACCTCATATTATGGTTCAGTTGTGTTATATGTTTGCAAATGACTCTTATTTTTTTCATTCTGTGCATTTTACATTTCTTCATGGTTGTTTGATGGCTTTGCTGCGCAAAGAAGTAAATGATTCGAGGAAGTTAATATTTTCAAGGATGATTCGGTTATCCAGTTTGTTAACCCAAAAGGTACTATCCCTGCTGCTGGAATTGCAAATTTCTCTCATTTGTTTGTTTGTGCTTAATATGCGTGTGCTTTCTTTGTTGTTTTTCCAGTTCAAGCCTCTATTGCTGCCAACACCTGGGTTGTAAGTGGTACTCCTCAGAGTAAGAATTTCTTTCTCAACCCCCAATGTCCTCCAAATAGTTATCACAGTCAATGTATATATCATTTTGGTTTTCGTCTTCTATTGCTTCTCTTGTTCCTTTGTTTCTGATAAAATTTTGAAAGACCATAATGTTGATTCCTCTTTTTGTTCTTTTGTTGTATTTTTTTCGCGTTGACTAGTTAACGCTTTGCTTTATGTATTTTGCAGAGCTGACATATATTCTTCCTTCCATTATTCACCAATTGGATAAGTGTAATTTCTCTTTGCTTTTTGAATATTTGTTTTGTTCCAATTCTGCGTTATCTTATGTGATGAAAAATTCTTAGGTCCCGATAACTTGGAGAATTTGAAGAAATTGGCGGAACAATTCCAGAAACAGGGTCCCACTGCTGGTGAAAGTGTGCCACAAGCAATTGATGATGATGATGAGGTGCCTGAGCTTGTTGCTGGCGAGACTTTCGAAGCTGCTGCCGAGGAGAGCGACACCCAAAAAGCATCTTAAATTCAATGGCTCCTTCAATTTTTATACTGTATGCCTATATCAAGTGTTTCGAAAATCTTTTAATAGATGGACCCATAACAAAATTGTGGTTCTATTTGCTTTCTGTTGGTTATTATTCCATTATTCAAAAGGGCTCTTTGCGCATTTTAGCCATTCTCGACTGAGTTGTTTTGAAACTTGAGGTCGTAAGAGTATGTGTGGGTCCATTGAGAGTGGTTAGTAGTAAGAAGGTAGTGCCTAAGAGGAGCTCTTTTGTGGTTGTCCTCGATTTTGTGCTTTTGTGTTGTAAAATGTTGGTTTTAACATTTTTTTTTTGTCAAGTTTGTGCCTCTAGTGGGTTTGGTTCCAAGGCCATTTTAAATTTGAACTGCTGCTTGGTTGAAATGTCTTATTTCGATTTCATTGTCAACTAAGAGACCATTTTTTGCGAAGGCCATTTAATGATGCATATTTCTCACAATATTTGTTTCACAATTCGAACTTTTTCACACATCTGTAAAACAAAGATGTAAAAGTATTTTATTGACAAATAATTTCCAAGAATTATTTGAGAATTAAGTAATCAATGTTTATAATAAAAGAAATAAAAGTTTCTGGAGTCCCGCGGTGCGATGACTGCCGCGGCGCGAAGCGTAATGAAGGCAAAAGCCACAGTCCGGATCGTGGCACATTTGCGGCGCGATACCTGGAACAAATTCAGTCTCTCGTTTTTTTGTTTTTTTGTTTTTTTTTAACAAAAATATAGATAAACACATATAAATTTGGAGTTCTCGTAAGCCTCGTTCCTCAACTCCTCAAGTTCTGACAGTTGCCACATCCGCTCACGTCCGGCTACATCAAGATCAAAATTCATCCGCTTTATCGCCCAAAAAGCTTTGTGCTCGATTTCGACCGGAAGGTGGCACGCCTTTCCGTAGACGAGCTGGAACGGGCTCATTCCCAAGACTCCCTTGTAAGCTGTGCGTTGGGCCCACAGTGCATCATCAAGACGGTTGGACCATATATATATATATACATAAGGTACAAAACAAAATGCTCGGTTTAAAGCCGGGAGCTCGGCACAATTCTCGATCAAGGATATGCTCGGTTACAATAGTGCTTTATTGTATTTAAGCGTAATACCATGATCACGCTCGAGGTCACTCATTATATCCCTCGGCTTTAATACCCGCCCTTCTGCCAATAACTTTGGCGCAAATAAAGCTCCAATGATCTTGGAAGGCAACTGTCGAGGGGCTGAGCGACTGAGGTCGAGCATACATGTATGATGGTTGAATTTACATATTTTCCAATTACCATCAACCATTGCATTGGCACGAAGTAAAAATAGGCAGTCTTTATGCTTGCAGACAGACTCAAATCGAGATTGTGATGACCTTCGTGTTCGATACTCCACTTTGTGTTGCAAGTGGTAGAATCCCAACCTCATTATCAATTCTTCCTTACTACCCATTATCATCCCTTTAAACAATTCATAATCTGAGTCTAACACAGGAGGAGGAGGCTCTTGGACCCGAGTTTGCACATCCGGAAAATGATAAGTTACTCCAGGAACCATCCAAGCATTTCTCAAACGAAAAGTAGATTCATTGAATGCATCTTCATTAGGAGTATCATTTTGGGAAAGGTTAAGTGGTGGCACATTATGAATATTAACACACTTCGGAGGAATGATGTCCTCATTTTCATTATCTTGCTCGAGTTGCTCAATCTCGTCATCATTTTCGCTATCATTCTCGTGGACGTTCGCTTCTCCATTGAAATCATCATTGATGTCCTCATTTTCATTATCCTGCTCGAGTTGCTCATTCTCATCCTCATTTTCGCTATCATTCTCGTGGACATTTGCTTCTTCATTCAAATTATCATAATACCGACCATCATCCTCACCATCAAATACACTATCTTCACCCCAATCAACATGGTTAGAAAAATCACTTTCAACATCTCGACGCGCGGAATCTTGCACTGTATTCCGAGATTGATTTGGATTATAATCATCTCGCCCAATATTAAGATCAAAACCAATATTTGGGTTGCTTTGCCAATTGAAGTTTGCAAGAGATGGAACGGTAACACCATATGGATAAAATGGTTGACCTTGAGCAGCAACTAAGTTCAAAAATCCACCTTGTCCCCCCGCAAAAGCATGAAAATTGGTTGGTGGTTGAGTAGAAAATCCCCTTATTCCACGATCTTTGGCTTGCAACGTAACATATATAGTAGGAATTTAGAACAATTCGGCCAAATTGTGCAAGTCAGATTCACAAGAAATTCTCCATTTTTCCAACTCTCCGTTTTCATTTGTCATCAAGAAGTGAAATCGATACTCACACGTTTGTTTGTCGCCACAAACAATGTCATGAACTCTCTTTAAAAAGTCTTCATACGACAAACTCCCCAAACGCATAAAATTCATCTCCGCCTGTCCATTTTTATAGACATTGTCATCCCAAAATCCGCTATGCACAATTCGAACTTTTTCACATGACATCTATAAAAAAAGATACAAAAGTATTTTAGTGACAAACAATGTAAAAAATACATGTCTTATATATGATTCGATGTATTATATAATAAAACAAATAAAATTTGAACCAAAATCGATTTCTGGGATCATGAAATCGTTTCTAGACCCCAGAAATGATTTCTGGACCCCAGAAATCATTGGAAACCAGAAATTATTGCTGGACCACAAAAATAGTTTCTGGACCCCAGAAATCGTATCTGGACCCCAGACATCATTTCTGGACCCCGGAAATTATTTCTGGGGTCCAGAAACGATTTCTAAATCACAGAAATCGTTTCTGGTACCAATTCCGAGTGAATCCCAGAAACGATTTCTGGTCCCAGAAATCGTTTCTGGAGCACAGAAAACCAAAAAAGATTTCTGGTTTCAGAAATCGTTTCTGGACCCCAGAAATCATTTTCCGTACACCAGACATCATTTCTGGATCCCGGAAATCATTTCTGTACCCCAAACATCATTTCTGATCCCAAAAAGTCCAGAAACGACTGAGGTCCAGAAACAATTTCTGAAATCAGAAATCGATTTCTGGAATCAAAAATCGTTTCTGGAACCCAGAAATCGTTTCTGGAGTACCCAGAAATCGTTTCTGGAGTCCAGAAACGATTTCTGAGGTCCAGAACCTCAGAAATCGTTTCTGGAACCCAGAAATCGTTTCTCGACTCCAGAATCGATTTCTGGTCCAAGAAATCGTTTCTGAAATTTTTACGATTTCTGTGACAAGAAACGATTTCTGGGACACTGAAACGATTTCCGGAATCAGAAATCGATTTCTGGAATCAGAAATCGTTTCTTGACCCCAGAAATGATTTCTGATCCCAGAAATCCAAAATTCCCAGAAATGATTTCTGGTAGCAGAAACGATTTCGGGGGTTCAGAAATGATTTCCGGGGTCCATAAACGATTTCTGAACAAAATCCCCTAAACGATTTCCGGGGCCCAGAAACGATTTCTGGGTTCAGAAATCAGAAATAGTTTCTGGACACCAGAAATAGATTTCTGTACCCCAGAAATTGACGATTCTTTTTTTTTTTTTCACTATCTTGATTTTACAGCGATTTTCTTCAAAAAATTGAGTGTACGAAATTGACCCATTAGAAAAACATGAAAAATTGTAAACATACCTTTAGACTAATATTTCCGAGATTTTCACGTAATGTACCGGATTTTTTAGATATGAAGAGAGTAATGCTTTTTTTTTTAGTGAAATAGAGAGAAATATTATAGAGGGAAAAGAGATGAGAGAGAGATTAGATTGAGGAAGAGAGAAGAGAGAAATATATATGATTTTCACGTAATGTACCTTTTGAGTGTTTTTGAATTGGAAAATATTATTTGAGAGAGAAATATTTTGTATTTATGATTTTTTCTTAAGAAATTAGTTAGTAAGGGTAATTTGGTATTTTTAAGTGCCAAAATGGCTAAAAAAGATGTTTTTCTAACATCATGGCTAAAATTTGTGTTTTCTATTTCTACTAGGCTAAAAAAAAAATTCTCTGTTGGTAAAAACAGTTGTAGTGTCTCCTACATTTACTTCATTTGACTTGCCGCATGTTTATATGCTTTTTTTTAACGGTTTAGAGTAATAGAAAATTTCTGGACTGCATATATATTATTGTTTTAAGTAGTGCTTTAAAAGTTGTTAGGCGCTTAAAACCTAGCGCTTAAAATATTTAAGCGGGACTTATAAATTAAGATTAAATATCTTATTTTTTTTATTATTTTTTACTATATACAAACTCAACTCGTAAAAAATCCACACACCAAAGTCCAAATAACACTATTAATATATTGTAAAGAAAATACATGATAACAAAATAATGTAATCAATATTTTAAAAAAAAAAAAAAACTGAAAAATTGGCCGAGCCCGCCTGACCGGTTTTTTCAACCGATTCATGCAAATCGGAGGCGGCCGGCCAGCGCCTAGGCCAAGTTTTAGTACAACGGTTTTAAGTCATGCATATATTATTTTTAGGTGGGCTTCTTTTTAATCTATATGAAACTTAAGGGATTACAATATTGTACTTTAAACAATAAAACGTGAACATTCACTTCAATTGCAGAAGCAATTCAAACATAAACTAAACCTTCAGAAGAGCATTTAACTCTCCCTCGAAAGTCTTTCATTAAAATATGTGTTTAACCAAAAGTGCAACTAGGATTTACAAGTCTAGACTCCCTCTAGCAAACTTAATTTGCACACCACCTATCTTACTACTTTTTTCAGCCACTCACGTGGACTTTGTTTCCTACACAGATCTCTCCGTACTACGCAAGTGATACTCTTCCCAAGCACCGAGAAATATAATCACAAATCACGCAACTCAAATTAGAGTTAAACTTATTCCAATTTGATCACTCACTCAAACAAACTGAAACTAAACAGAGATTGTTCTCACAAGCTCTTTCCCATGCAAATCTCTAAGATAATCAGAAATCACCGAATGAAAACTAAATTGCGTGCAAACTAATTACATGGTTGTACAAGGTAAGTAAATTCTTCAACAAATTCCATAAAAAGTAACTATATTCACTTAGGTAAGTGCATGTGTCCAAGTTCATCCAGTCAAGTCAACGTTGATATATAGCACCCAGAACATGTACAGCTTGGCACATCGGTCCGAGAGAGTAGCTCGGTTGTAACTGAGCTATGAGAACTCCCGTGAGATAAGAAGAAGGATGTTCGGCCTAATAGCCCGAAAACGGGTTTAAGGTGTCGAGCTCACAGAACCAACCCGACCTGGATCTACCGGCAGTAGCCGACCTCGATGTCTATCAAGGTGGGGTGGCTTGGACAAGAGGGATCTAAGGGTGAGGTCGGTCAGACCTCAAGACAAGGTCTAGGACGCTCTCGGATGGGCCATAACAGACATGACAGGAGGTTGG